ATTATGAATAAATTGCATTAGATTGACTGGTATGAAAAACAAGTCCTATGAGCAAAAGAATTTTCCTTGCATTTTGTACACATTTCTCCTATTTATTTATTTATTTGGTAATTTATTCATTTTTACAAATCTTTTTTTAATAAAATGAAATTGTAAAATCCAGGTTTTTTGAATACTTTGAATAAATCAGGTAGGTTTGCTTCAAAATGCAAACAAATTTTTTCCCCATCCACAGGCTAGTAGCACCCACTTTAAAATGTGTGAACCTACTGCCATCTGTCGGGCAATATCTGATCTTCTCCCCCTATGCTCATTGTCTATTTCCTCAAAATTAGAGAATTCTGCACAGAATTCATTTCTATTTTGTTTACACTGTAACTAATGTATGAACAACTTCACAAATCACTAGATATCTGCAAAGGATAGTATATGGCCTACTTCAGTATATTTGACTGAATGAGGTGGGGGTGGAGATATTTGAAACAAAACAAATCTGGCTGAATTGCTTGTTATCTTCCATGACCTTTCTTGAAAAAAGCCTAATTAAAACGTTGAAAGAGATCAACAGTTATCAGCAATCCCTGTAGATTTATCCTTGGTATTATATAATACTGAAATCAGTATTATATAATACTGAAATCAGTATTTTGATGCATGAGAATTGCATAGTTCTTGATAAATTCCCAAAACTGGGGATTTAACCAAGCATAACACACGCATCCTTAACCCACAAGTCTAACCTTTTAAAAATTGTCCTGTGGATTTTAACTCCAAATCTAGTGGTTTCAAAAAAATCAGACTACATAGGTTGTGTTCCAACTCCTGGTTTCCATCTCTCTCAGCAAAGTGATTGCAACCAACCCTTATTAAGCATTCTCTGCGGTGTCCATTATAGCCAAAATTTTGCTGTTGCATTAAATTCATTTTAAGATAAAAATAAACTATTTTCACATCATTTAAAGGCACCCTCCACTGATTTACAAGAATGGGAGATTCTTGCTTGTTCTTTCAAAGTTGTCTCAATTAGTATCAATTTTTAAAGTTTATTTCAACTTTTCAGAAAAACAGGTTTAGAAACACAAGGCTTAGGAGCTTTAACTGACTTCCCCCAGATCCTCTAATAGTGTGAAACCTTAGAAACACTAGTGGTAATAGGACCAAATAATTCAAAGAGCAAGTACTTAACATAGATGATCTGTAAGAAGCTTTCTTAGATAACTCAAACTTAATTTTAAAAGTTTTTAAAATAGCTTTGATAGAACTGAGTTGATCCAAACTAATAAAATTACAAAAGAGTCATCTGGGTTGCTAGGTATTTTAAACTCCATTTATCCTATAGAGTAAGCATTTCATGGGTAACAAGGTCAAAATAATATCTATAACCTAAATATTTTTCATGTCTAACTTGCGGCATTAAAGAAGCCTAATATCCTGTAATTACCAGGAGTGCAACTGGGGGAAACATTACTTTTCAAGCTAAGTCAAAACAGGAGCTGAATTCTGAAATTCTTTATTCTATCCGGTGATTGAAGCTGAAATAAGTGTCCAATGTTAGGTTTGAAAATATGGAAAATTAAATCCATGGTTCCCAATATTCATAATTTATGCAAATCTGCTGTAGTCAAAGTTATTGCGCTCTCTGCAAACTTAGTACCCATTGAATCATTAAATCATCATTTAACAGAAGCAAGTAAGCATTAATTACATGTTCTTTAGTCAGACATTAATGCTTGTCTGACTAAAGTGCCATTTTGAATGGAAATCTAGTATATTAGCAACATCTCTTGCAACTTTTCAGAAAAGCAGTATTGCAAACATGTCTAGCCCTTCTTTTTTAAAATTACATTATGCCCTGTTTTCAGCTATGTTTTTAGTGCATGATACCAATTTCATTCCATCAAAATATATTTATTAGCTATCTTTTACACTTCTTTCTCCTGGCTTGCCCTGGCAGAAATCACACTGTCTGACTTTACTGAAACCTTTTAGAAATGATCGGCTGGGATACCCAACCTTAGATATGGCTGATGACATCCAGCTATACATCGCCACCCCTGACTGCGCAAATGATACCGTCAAGGGTTTTTTGGGTGTCTGGAGGCTGTGGGGATTGGGATGGGGAGCAATAGGCTTAGGCTCAACCTCAGTATGACTGATTTGCTGTGGGTTTTCAGACCCACCCAGATCTGGGGACTTTCCATCTCTAGTTCTGAATGAGATAGCATTACCCAAATAGAGCTAGTGCACAATTTAGGGATCCTCCTGAACTCTTGGCTCTTGCTCAAAGAGCAGCCTTGGCCAGGAAAGCCTTTAAACAAATCATCCGGTGTGCAGTTCTGCCTATTCATGGAGCAGGAGGCCCTTCTCATGGTTACGCATGGCTTTGTCATCTCCCTTTTGGATTACTGCAATATGCTTTACATGAGGCTGCCATTGAAAACCATTTGGAAGTTGCAACTGGTTTAGAACGCAGCAGTGTGGCTAGTTATAAGTGAGCTGTGCTGGCTTCCAGTAGGCTTCTGGGTATAATGCAAGGTGCTGACTATTTTTTTTTTTACTCCTTCATTCATTCATCCGTCAAATATGGAAGGGCATATAAGGTTCTTGGCTACCCAGAAAACTTGAAATCAATCAACAGCCCAAAATAAAACACTTCAAGCAGGGACT